GCCCCACAGGCCATCAAAGTTGGAGTTTCTCCCATAAGATTAACATGGGGGAATCTAAATATTTGATTGGAAACTTTGTCCCCACTAATTTGAGAGAACGGTTGGGCGTAGAAACTTGGTAGAGGTGTCCAAAGAAAGGTCTTGGTCTGTAGATGAGTTATGAAAAGAAAAACTAAGCAAAATCCCTTAGGACTCTGCCCCAGAAGCCTTTAAAGATCCCTCCACAGAGTTGTTTACATTTTGGCCATGAGAATAATACTTTTTAATGAAACAGCTGTTCATTTTTAAATTGTATTTCAAACAACACATATTTATTGGGAGTTTAATTCTACCAAATAAGTATTTGCAATGTTATTTTCTGATTTTAAAATTGATTTTCTTCTTTATCATGCCATGTTTTGCAATATAACGTTCCATTACGAAATCAGTGGAAAATCCTTTTATCACAGCAATTCTTAAATTATATCTTATTGAACTATCTTATATCTATTGTACGGGTTGGTATGTGCCTTTTTCGCCACTTTTGCCTACATTTTATCATATTATTCTACAAAATATCAAATATTTATGTAGAAATATCTGCTCTTATTGTGTCTAATAAAATCCAAACTTAGAAACATTGCCTAAAATGGTACCTATCTTGACAAATAATTTGCACCTGCCTATATTACGGACTTTGGCACACTGAATTAGTAACATTATTGAAAATAACACGACATTTTGGCTGTAAAATATGGTACAAAGAGAAAATACTATTTAAGCAGCTACTGTCATGACAGAAAGGTCATATTCCTTTTAAACTAGATCACATAATCCTTTGACTGGGACGGGTGGCGTCGTCCTGTAATCCAGCTATAGGCTACTAGGAGGTCACAAATTCTGGATATTTATAGGAATGCACTGTGGATGCGATACTCCCTGGTGTGGATTAACGTCCGCACGAGTGAGTACTACGACTACCCGCAGTGCTATCCTGATAATTATACCATATCATAAATACCAATGCAAAAAAAATTTGGTTCCAATTCAACTATAAACTGTAGATCCCTTGGTTGCCATTCACTGTATGGGCTATTAATTAACAGCTGTATCTAAGGAATGTCGGCCTTAGTAACTAACAAGACTTCAAGATCGCGCCACTCTTCCTACACTCATCTCCATTCATACTTGGCTTACCTACTATGAATGGTCGCCATAAAAAAAACGTATTAAAGGATTAAAGTATTTATCATATACGTTGATTAACAATATGTAAACGTCAATATATACGTAACAGCCATTTTACAGTATTTTTGCTTTTTGGAAATGTTCAATTGCTATGTCATTTGCATTATTTATTGCCAATGAAGCCGCCAAGATCATATGAACTAGGAGGCCCCTAACAGTTCAAGAATAAAAGCCAACTTTACTTCATGTATTCCACTACACCTAACATTCCGTAGAGAGATTATATTGACAACTTTATGTTATTGATAAGGCCGAGAGGGCCGAGACAACTAACTGACATCCCCCATGTCAAGGAATTCCAGCTTTATCAGTAACCCCACAGTCAATTTCTCAAAACTATGCTAGAGGGTTCATTCATTGGCAAAGAAGTACGATATGAACTGACGCGACGTGACGAAGGAAAATCAAACTTACACTGTAACGGATATACCTCCCTTTGAAGTTAGAACGTGTCTTTCTCAACAAACATATATTTTTTCTCAAACACTGATGAAATCACGGAAGTGTTTAGCTACAAAAGATCCACCAATACGATTTTAATACTATTTAAAGGTTCTACCAAAGGAAGAGATACCATATAACATACTAATAATATAACTCCGATGACGTACAGGATAGGAAATATTTTAATCATTGAATGAACAACCAAATTTGGCAACTAACGCAATATTGTTATTGTTTTTACACTTATACTCTTTGAACAATGTTAAATGCTCAAAATATGTATATTTCACCCAATTCATCGCAGTTAGATGAATTAACGTAAGCCTTGAAAGTAACCGTCGATTTCGACGGGTTTCCCCTAGTCTAATCTAATCGTCATAAACAGATCCCAGACTTCGCACTGCTGCCCTTGACTACAATCATAGATAAAACCATAGACTATATAAAACATACTCCCTACAATGTATCGAGTAATCATCAGTATAATCTTTGCTAAATATTATGCTAATTATTAAGTGATGTTTTCCTTTTGTTCTGTATTTGTAATTTGCTAGTATACTGTGGGTAGTTGGCTTACTATGAACACATGCTACAACTTCAAGTCTTTTGTTTACTTTATCCTTGTTATTTAATTCATCCAACATGGTTACCTAGCAACCCATAAGACTAATGTTAAAAAAATGTGATTTTCAGTTTCATTTTTCTACGTAATTAGATTTTTGTTGGCAGTTCTAACTGCATGAAACTCGTTTTTAGGCCAAAAATAAACTATTTACAAGATTTGAAGAAAATCGTCGGAGCCGTTTTCGAGATCTTTCTGCAAGCAAGCAAGCAAGCAAGCATACAAGCAAACATTGCTCGTATTAGAGTATAGGATAAATAATACACCATAGTACTCTTTTTTTTAATTATTTTTAATGACTGATGCATTTTAACACTAAGGTCATGGTCACAGTCTTTCATAATGTTATTAAATCTAATATGTAAACAAAGAAATAAATACAATCACATGTTTAAATTTTAACTAAATCTATCTTGACTTGGGACGTTATATAATTAAGAATATCGTTATACCAATGGTTTTACTTATAAATTTTGTCTTAATTCTTGGATCTTAACATAGATTGGGTTTAAATTTTGTGTTTGCATTATGTTAAGGATGTTGCTTTCATTTTTTCTTGTTGCTAGATATATATGTAATTCTTCTTTTACATTCATCCTTTCTCCTTTTTGTTCATGTTCTAAAATTTTGACACTATCTTCAATTTTTCCATAACTATGGTTATGTGATAAAATGTGTTCCGCGTACATTGATTTTTGAGTTGTCATGTTGTTGGATTTTACTGATTGAATGTGTTCTTTGAATCGGCAAGAAATTGATCGCCCTGTTTGTCCGATATAAAATTTAGAACAATCTTTGCAATTGATTTGGTATATTCCTGGTTTTTCATATTTATTCATTGGTAGCCGTTTATTGTTGGATAGTTGTTGTATTAATCTGAAGGAGTTATTTCTTGTTCTATATATATATATATATATATATATATATATATATACAAACATCCTCTTTTATACTTAAAGATAAGTCCGTTAGCGCGATAACTCGCAAAAATGATCCGATTTTGATGAAATTTGGTACAAACGTGTAAACCTACTTTTTTTTAACGAGTTCGCGATCCAGCATAATCGGACCATGGGAACGGGGGTTTATGGGGGATTTTATGGGGTAAAAATGGGGTTTTCCCATTTTTGACCCTAAAAACAAAACATTTTGCAATTTATTTTCAAACCGTTTTGTAGAGCTTAAAAAAATAAATAATTTAGTATATTGAAGCGCTGTTTTATGCCTAACGGTCACAGAGAAAATTCAAAAATAGTGTAATTTAAAATTCCCATGTTATTCTTATAGAGAAAATGAAAATTGTTATAGTTTACTTGTATCAAGGCTTAATTATTTCAATAGTCACCATCCAGTTAATTATAAAGTTCCAGTTCATCAACAATTGATATTGTTATGGCTCCAAAGGTCAGGTTCTAGTGATAAGCTGGTCGAATGTATCAGGTGGGCACTGGGTAGGGGGTGCCCCCGGTGGGGCAGAGATCCAAACAGGAAAATTACTGCAATAGTCTAGTTATGCCTACGCTACTTCCTGTCTATCTTGATGTGTTCAGGATCCTTACTTTATAAAAGTCTTTGCTATCCATTTTAAAGTTGTGGTTTACTTGTAAAATAACTGATAAATGATAAGTAAGTTATGAAAGTGAGATGATTTTGCTTCAAGTGTCCTCTAAAAATACATTAGGATTTTGTAACAACAAGAGCTCCATCTAAATAACAAGACATCCCTCTAAATAACAAGACACGTAATCTTTAATTACAAGGTATATTTAAAAACTTACTTTTTGGGTCTTCCCCGTCCCCTTTTTTGGACAGCTGGTAAAACTTGCAACACAACAGCATAGCTTATTTAGCATCCATATAAATAAAATTACAGTTTTGTCTGTACATTGCTTAGAATCATGCAGTTTTTGGTTATTTTTACGTTTCATAGCCTAAGAAAGCCGAAACGAGTCTTATCTCAATTTCTGTCTGTATGTCTGTTGGTCCATTCTGTGATCCCGTCTGTAACGCCAAAATGTCATTTTACGCGGCCTACTCCTTGAAAACTAGAGTACAGATCAAGATTCAAATTATTGTTCTGTGTTCCTCTTTCATAGATATAGATATACGAGGCATGTTTTTTAAGTAAGTGGGTACCGTTTTTAAATTTCTCCCTTCCAGCACTGCGATTGGCTTTTCCGACATTTGCTGTATATGGGCATCTATTGGTAAGACCTAGCCGGAAATTCGAGAACAATCGGCCGTGTTTACATCCCGTTTCAAGCAGTCAAAATGGTGCCGCTAATTGAGACTGCCGCCGACTGTGAAGTGCGCACTAGAATTAGATTTTTAAATGCTAAAGGTGTGAAAGCTATTGAAAATCATCGCCAGATTAGTAAAATGTATGGCGGGAACATTATGAGTGTCATAATGGTACGCAAGTGGATAAGGGCATTTAAATATGGCCCCACCAACGTTCATGATGAGTAACACACTGGGTATATTATATATATATATATATTGTCCTAGAAATAAAGAGTATATGTGTTTCAAGTGTTATTAGACGTATTTCTATTTATTTTTCGTAAGTAAAAGTCCCCAAAATTCACAAAAAATAGGCCTTACCCAAGATAAAGGTTGTTGACAAGCTAATATGTCAGATAGCGTTTATTGATAATTGTATTAATAATTGATCTAAGAAAACTAACAAACAATTTAACTAACTTACCTGTTTCGTTGGTTGAGTCCTCTTTGTTTTTTTCTTTCGGAGTAGGTGGAGTTTTTAGTTTTATTTTCTTTCCACTCCGTAGAGCCATTTGCTGAAATGAAAGTTAGGGTAAATTTTGTGTACTGCAGCACTAAAATGAGTTAAAATAGACAATTTGAAATTGAAAATATAATATTTTTAAACATATCCTATTTATCTATATTATTAATACGCTACAAGGAACTTTTGGGAACAATAAGGCTTTTAGCGAATTTCCCATATATCTCTTTTGACTAACGTACCACCTACCAAACATGTATACCACCAATACAAAGCGACAAAGAAATGGTGTTCATCAAATAGGCTATGGTGTTTTTGTAAACAGAACTATCTTTAATATAATATACGGTATATATTTTATGTGAAATAACAGAATGTTATGATGTTGTATGAAGAGTCACTTTGATCATTTGTATTTTTAATTTCTGGAGCTAGATATGAAGAAAATATTTTTTTTGTAAACATTTCCATTATATCCAACTGACCCTACTACAGTTTGAATGAATTCCTAAGTGACCATACTTTTAACAGAAGACAATAATAACCAAGAAAATAAAGAAAAAGATGACGCCTCCCCCAATCTTGATGACTGCGGAGGAGAAGAACAGCAGTAAGCAGTAATGGCATTACGTACACATTTATATTATCATGGGATTTGGGATAGGCCTGTACATGTTATTCAGATTTAACCTGATGTTTTCACTTTAATCAAACTACTGGACCTTACAAATATCGTACAATTTGGCGTTAACTTTTACTGTGTATTCATTGTCACTTTTCAAAATAAAAAATAGCATGAATAACAATATATCTGATTAAAAAAATGAACTATAGTTTCTCCACTAATGCTGTAATACCAAAGAGTAAAGCACGATTAGTAAAATCTACTCTAAACGTAGAGAAATTCATAGTTGATGTTAGCACACTCATATCTGATAAACAAGAGCCACACTCACACAAAACAACCTTAAACTTTACAATAGGGTGAGAGTATAGCCTACACTTGCACTGTTCAAAGTCAACGTTTTACATTCCTGGGAGCCTAATCTTGCAAGACAAAAGAAAATTGAATATTGGTAGCAAAAAGGAACCGTAGTTGAATCTTAATATTATAGTTCCATTGTATCGTATTATACCTGTAAATTGTAAAAACGCAGGAATTAGAAATGATAAACCCAGCGAAAATATAAGACCCGAGCAGCGGATCCTTCAGAAAGTCTAGACGCAACGAAACAAGTGTCTGTCTCTTGAGCCTGTCTGTGTCTGTAGCTCAATCCATCCGACATCTCACAAATTGTCCCTTATAAATACCAGCTCGATACTCTACGTCTACGGAGTGTTACCTCACAAATGTCCATATAGCCACTGTTGTCGCCAAAACTTCTTTACAAACAAATTCATAACTATGCACTATACAGTATCAATATTATGAGACTAGGTCGAGACCCAACTACAGTATAGCCAATTTTAATTCAAACCATGATGGAATATGAGTGCCGGTATTCCATTGATACAGTATGATAAAATCTTTCGTTACGACTACGATAGATATTGACCAGCCACGTCAATTCGGTATCGAATGTGTTGGAATAAACACGTCGCAAAACATGCATTTAGGCCTACATAGTAAGCCAAAGGTGGTAATTTACTCTAGAATTAAGATGACATGTTGAACGAAAATATCCACAGATAAACGAGCAAATGTATACACATATAACAATAAATAACAAGTACTACTATTAAACAATGAACTTGTGTCAATAAACGCAGCCAATCGTTGAGGCGATAGGAAATGTAGTTAATGCGCATTTTGTCACTTCAAACCGTATTATTTAAGAAAATTATTTTCCGTTCCCTATAGGATTTGTTATTGTTTTAAGACCGTTGCATGAACATAAACTTCACTGTCCCTTGTAGTGAAGTGATCTAAAGGCACAGCTGAGGCTACGTTAACATTTGCGCCGGCGATTGTTTACCGACGAGGCCTCCGCGGAGTACCACAGGGATTCTGGAACCGGTGCTATTTTCGCATTTATACTCTCAGTCTCTCGTATAGGCATTGTCGTATACTAACTTCTCTGTTGGAAATAACACATGGCACGGGCGGTTTGTAAGAAAAATCTGTTCCTTTCGGCGTCCCATTCCCTTTAAAGTGATCTTACCTACATTTGTTGAAGCCAAGAATCCACGTATGCGGTCTGCGATTGGTCGTTGTAATCCTGACAATCCAGGACGATCTGGTCCTGACAGTGGATCGATTGCGACAGTACGCAGCAATCCATGCCCGCGCACAAACGCACAACTTACCACGTTAAGAGCGGGTGCTCGACTGACGCCGTGCGCTGCGGCCGGACGATGGTGGGGGGAAGGCGGTAACATTGTTGTCCCCGCCCACTTTCTTCCCCCTCCCCCACCGCTATCGTCAACAATCACCGCGATTGTGGAATGAAGGATACACTATTTGCACACTTTGATGGTGGATTGATTATTAGGTATAGATTGAGGAATTGTTTCCGAGGAAATTTATAGGTTGGTAAACAAATGTTGGAGAAATTCTGTTATCCATGTCTTCTTACGAACATTCAAAATACGTTCTGGCACTTCACTTGCAACTTTGTCATATGGAATGACTTTTTCGCCACAAAGATATCCTCCACGGCCCAACATTTTCTAGGACTGTCAGAAGACTCGTGTTTCTCAAAATCCTATAGCATCCTATGAACTCCCTGCAGGCGTTGTATTATTTGCCAGTCTAGATATTTTAAATTGACGTTCATTTTGGACTCCTCATCAACTTTCAAGAGCAAGAGGGTACAAATGTCACTCAAAGTATAGATATCTCGAGGTCATAAGATCATATTATTCTTATCAGCATCATATGCGTAATTGCGGAGCTGGACACTACAATTTAAAATGTTTACCGACTCATCAACTCTCTCATGGACTGTTGCAATCTTATATGATCAGAATCTCCTCCGCACCAGGTTATACGTCTGTTCAGCTTCCTTAAAAAATACTTTTCTTATAGGACGGCAAACCCCCATTCTAGAGACGATTTTTCAGTACGCTCCCCTTCAACATAAGCTATTCAAAACTGTTGAACCTAACCACGTGTGAACTAATCAGTCAACCTCGACTAACAAATACAGATATATCATTCTCCGCAATCACAATACAAAGTACAAAGTTATTGTCAAGGCAGAGCAATCCTAATCAGCGACCATCCTAATACATTACATCCAGGAGAAAAGACGTAGCTTTTGACGTTTCGAAACTGAGCTAAGCTATCTTTGGTCGTTGGGAAAGAGAACCAGCTATCTCATCAGTGTCATCATATTCATTCAAAACTCATCCCTCACTCATAATCACCCTAGTGTTTTTGTTCCATACAAATAAAATCCAAACTTTGAACTTACTATTCTCTTTACCTTTCTCATTAAACTTTTATCACATTTCCCGGTGAGTTTATTACTGTTGTATACAGGGTGAGTTTTAATTGTCCCCCCCCCAACTTTTTTCTACATTTTTTCAAATATCAATCCCAGACCACTTCCAAACATTGTTGGGTAGTAAGTACTTCATTTTGACAAGGTGGCCATTTCCGGCCGCCATCTTGGATCCGCCATATTGGATGCAAAATTTTTTTTCAAATGTAAAGGTGGGGTTGTGACCCATTATTTTGAATTAAATTTTTACCCTGATTACAATGCCGCAAACCGTTTAAAAAAATCTTGATTCATTCTAAAGTTATGAGGGCTTTTTAAAACTTTATTTTTAGCCCATTTTAACATTGTGCATTTACAAACTAAGACCATAATCTCAAAATAGTGCTAGATAAAGATAAGTATACACTACCAGTAATTGTCGACCTATTTTCACTTGGTTATGACTGATGTATTTTTTTCGGCCGCCATCTTGGATCCGCCATTTTGAAATGTGATAAATTATTTTAAATATGAAGGGGGTATTGTGACCCATCATTTCGAACTACTTTTTTAAGCTGAAGACAATGCCGTAATCCATTTTTTGTTATCAAGTTTTATTTATGAAATATTGAAATTTTTTTGTTAAAAATGTCAATATTTCAAAATCAAAAAATGAAAATGAAAAACGGATCATGGAATTAAGTTCAGCTTAAAAAATTAGTTCGAAATGATGGGTCACAACACCCCCTTCATATTTAAAATAATTTATCACATTTCAAAATGGCGGATCCAAGATGGCGGCCGAAAAAAATACATCAGTCATAACCAAGTGAAAATAGGTCGACAATTACTGGTAGTGTATACTTATCTTTATCTAGCACTATTTTGAGATTATGGTCTTAGTTTGTAAATGCACAATGTTAAAATGGGCTAAAAATAAAGTTTAAAAAAACCCTCATAACTTTAGAATGAATCAAGATTTTTTTAAACGGTTTGCGGCATTGTAATCAAGGTAAAAATTTAGTTCGAAATAATGGGTCACAACCCCACCTTTACATTTGAAAAAAAAAATTTTGCATCCAATATGGCGGATCCAAGATGGCGGCCGGAAATGGCCACCTTGTCAAAATGAAGTACTTACTACCCAACAATGTTTGGAAGTGGTTTGGGATTGATATTTGAAAAAATGTAGAAAAAAGTTGGGGGGGGGGACAATTAAAACTCACCCTGTATGTTGAATTTAATATTACTTGAATTTGTAGCAGCTGATTATTACTATTGTTTATGTTTGTGGTTGCTATGTTGTAAATCATTCTAAAAGTCAATACATATTAGTTTTACTGAAGTCTTTACAACTATTATTTCTTAAATAGTTAACATGGTGCCAGAATAACTTGTGAGAATGGATTGTAAACCTGCACCTCTTGATTTAAGCAATACAGCCTCAGCCAAGGAAGAATGGAGAGTATTTAAGAAGCAATGGGAAAACTACCTGGTACTAGCAGAGGCAGGAGCAGTATGTGGCACAAGGCTAAGTACACCAAGACTCAAACTGGCTATGTTTAACACATTGATAGGTAAAGAGGGCCTTAAATTGATTGAAAAACTTGTAGATACCAACAATACAGATCTTGCTGGTATCATAGATGCATTAGATTCATATTTTGTAGGAACGACAAATCCCTTATTTAAAAGATTTTTGTTGAACAAAATAATCCAACACAAGAATGAAAATATAAAGGATTTTATAGGAAGGTTGAAAGAAGGAGCTAAAAGTTGTGGTATTGATGGTTTGTCAAGTTTAAATAAAAATGAGTTAGAAGAGACATTAATATGTGACCGTCTTGTCATTGGCCTAGAAAACAATGAACTACGCAAACGTCTATTGCTGAAGAAAGGCTTGAAGCTAAATGATGCTATGGAAATTTGTTTGCAGCATGAAAATACGGAAACATATATAAAGCAAATGACATCTCCAGGAAAAGAAGAAACTTCTTTTAAGATAACAAAACATCAATACAATGAAAAAGGTCAATCTTGTCGATACTGTAGAAAATTTTGCAAAAGAGGGGCTTGTCCGGCTTATGGTAAGATCTGTTCCAGTTGCCAAAAATTAAACCATTTTAGTAGTGTGTGTAAAAGCAAAATGACAGTAAAACATATTGAGGACGAAGAAAAACAAGATCAGCATTCTACTTCTCAAGAGGATGTCATGCATTATGAAAGAAACTGATAAACCTACAGTACTTACAAAAAACAGCTTTTTGTCAAAATGCAAGTCAATAGAAAGTTTTTAAAATGTCAACTAGACTCAGGACATTCTATGGAGAAATGTCACAAAAATCATTAGGAAATATTGTTTTGAGAGCTAAATTAAAAAAAAACGGTTCTACGATTTGAGATTTGAAGTAATGGAAAGCGAAAAAAATCCGTTACTAGGGGCAAGTGATTGTTTGAGACTGGGTTTGATTACCACAGATGATGAGGTGTTTCAAGCCTTAGCTACCACTCAAATCCAAACAAATGATTTATTTAGTAAATATCCTGATGTTTTTGAAGGGCTTGGATGTCTTGAAGGTTCATACAACATAAAAGTTAATCCAAATGTTCAGCCTTCAGTTGCTGCTCCTAGACGTCACCCCCTTGCTCTGAAAGATTAAATAAATACAGAGCTATGCAGACCTGAGTCTCTTGGAGTAATTAAAAAGGTTACAGAACCTACTGATTGGGTTAGAAGTATGGTGGTCGTCAAGAAACCTAATAAAATAAGACTATGCATAGACCCTTTCTACATAAACAAAGCCATCAAGAGATCTCACTATCAAACGCCCACTGTTGAAGAGATCATTCCACAATTAGCAGGAGCAAAATACATTAGTATTCTTGATCTAAAAGATGGATTTTGGCACGTCAAACTTACAGAGGAATCGAGCAAACTCACAACATTTTGGACTCCTAAAGGAAGATTTCGCTGGACACGACTACCCTTTGGTTTATCTACTGCCCCTGAGGAGTTCCAAAGAAGAATTCATGAAAATCTTGAAGGGTTGGATGGCATTGTTGCAATTGCTGATGATGTGATGGTTTTTGGTAAAGGAGACACAATTGAAGATGCGAAATTTAATCATGACAAGAACCTTTAAGCATTACTGGAAAGAGCTCGACAGCGAGGAATAAAGTTAAACAAAGACAAATGCAAAATATGATCCGACAAAGTTACATAGTTGGGCCATCTAATAACAACAGAGGGAGTTAAGCCTGATCCCAAGAAGATAGAAGCGATTAGTAAACTCAAACCACCCACTTCTAAAGACGAAGTCAGGAGATTTTTGGGATACATAAGATACTTGTCAAAATTCTTACCCAAACTCTCAGAGATAACGGCACCAATTAGAGATTTACTTAAGGATGACTGCGAATGGGTCTGGGACTCACCTCAAGAACAAGCATTCCATAAATTGTTAAGAATGGTTCAAGAAGCCCCTACCTTAGCATTTTTTGATGAAAGTCGGAGTTGCCTGATTCAATGTGATGCGAGCCAATATGGACTGGGTGCTTGTCTGATGCAAGAGGGTAAACCTGTAGCTTACGCGTCCAGGTCATTGACAGACACAGAGACATCATATGCGCAGATTGAAAAGGAATGTTTGGCGATTGTATTTGGACTTCAGCGTTTTGAACAATTCATCCATGGAAGGAATGATGTTCTTGTGGAAAAAGACCACAAACCACTTGAGTCAATATTTAAGAAGCCGATTGTTTCTGCCCCAAGAGGATTACAAAGAATGCTACTAAGGCTTCAGAGATACAATTTCAATGTTATTTACAGACCTGGAAAATCCATAGTCATAGCAGACTTCTTATCAAGAACACCTTTACAAGACACACAAGGTTACAAAATCGACGAAGCAATGATACTTCAAAATGAAATCGAACAAATAAAAGCTTTGAATG